TGGGTCATATGGTAAGTCTATCAAGAATGTATCTTTTATACAGCTAAAAACAGGAATTTCATCACGAGCAGACCTTAACTAAAGGAAATTCTATACGCTCTATTTCATACAAAAGGAAAATGATCCCAGGTGGATGGTTAGAGATACAAGAAAGAATAAAGCCCAAAGAAAGTAGTAAAATGTGGATAAATTAAATAATTAATTGTATAAAGTGTTATAAAAAGGTCTTTAAATGTACGGACTTAAAACCCAGGTTAATGATACTTCCATTGCTAGATATAACAGAGTGGCTTGTAGTAAACTAACACTCCTGTAGAAATAGCTAGAAGCTGTATAAAATACAAATGTATAAGCTTGAAGGCATTGGAGAGCTACCAAGGCAGCTCTGGACTTGAGGATCCAAGATACCAGAGAGAAAGGAAACTCACTGAGGTAAACCGAACATTCTGGGTGCCTCCTCTCCCAGAGGGACAGATGATCATTCCTAGGGACATCATTCTAAAAGGACTGAAAAACATTTTTAGAACTAGAAAACATCAAAAGCAGCCAAAGAAAAAAGACATTTTACCTTTAAAGAGTAAACATTGGAAGAATGGTAAAAATTAAAACCCTACAAGTATCTAACTAGGTCATGAATAAAACAAAAAATATTTTGTTAATTCAAAAGGTGGAGAAGAACATTCAAGGGGCCCCCCAAGCACCCACAAATGCAGCTGGATTTAAGAGACCTGCTCTGGAGTTCTCCCACCCAGTTGAGGAATCACAGTGGGCAATTTGACTCTCTTTTTGAGGGGTCAATGGAGGGGTGAAGGTGCATCCGTGACCCTGGCTTAAACCAGAGGACAATGGGCCAGGGTCCCCACCTTCTGCTACTGAGGGAACAAGAGAGAACCTGATGTCCTTTGGAGCTTGCAAGGAGGCGTGACCTCTGTGTCCTTCATGTTGATGAGTCAGCAGCCAGAGATGCAGGAGCTGTAAAAAGGTGAGAAGTAAAAAGCTGGAGCTGGAATTAATGAATTGGAATATAGGTGAGAAGAAATTGTCCAGAAACTAGTGTGCAGACAATGAGAGGACAGTAGAAAGGGATGGGGAGAGAAAGACAAAGGACAGAGAGAGGGGCAGGAGCCAATAAAGCACCCCCTTCCTGAGAGCTCAAGGGTGCTCAGTTAGGAGGAGTCCCACACAAGCTGCAGGAACCCTTTCCTCCATGCCCACCCATTCCCACCTCCAGCCAGGCCACATCAGCTGTCAGGGACAACGTTTTTGGTCCTTTTCCACTGTGGAGTTTATTTTCTAATTTCACCACATCCTTTGATGTTGGAGGGGTGGAGAGGCTAAGGGAGCCTACCC